GTAGACTTAGCTTTTGTGTATTCCGTAAAGCCAACATTTTTGATAATTTCTTTGATAACAATATAAAAATACGATGCAAAAACTTTTCCAAGCACCTTGCGCTCGCGTAACAATAATAAGCCGGAGCAAAATGAAAAAATATGGCAGCGCTGACATTGTTTATCGAACTTATCGATTACCTGTATCCGATATCGATATATTCCTTATTATTATTCCCTTTTCTTTGGCAATAAAAGTTTTACAATGAATGTAAACAAACAACGTCATAAGTTGTAATCAATGCCGTTTAATTAATTTAAGTTCATTTACTCAAGATGAGTGGAAATGCCTTTAACTTTGAAATCAAGCTCAAACGTGAAAACAAAGTGTATTATGAAAATGTGCGTAGGTAAACAATACCAAACTGTTACTCAACTAATTCAATTTTATTTACTAGGAGATGCTCGTAGGCTGCGTGCAGTTTCAGTGTCCGACTGAAACCAAGCACGATGGAATACTACTCACATTGGACGGCGTCGTAAATCTACAGYTAAGTAGCAAAACAGTTGGCCTCTTCGATGCCTTCTACAACTCGGTGAAGCCCATCACTTTGCTACAGAATAGTCTGGAGCTCTCTGCTCCGGGCAAACTAAGTGCCGGCAATTCCGAATTCCATTTTGAACTTCCTTTGGTTTGCAAGAAGGAGCCACGAAGACTATACGAAACATATCACGGCGTCTTTATCAGCATCAACTATCAGCTTAAATGCGATGTGAATGTGAAACGCAATTTCCTAGGCAAATCGTTACAGAAAGTTCAACAATTCTGTATACAATATAAGCCAGTTCCGTTGGGTGATGAGGCAACTAAATCTGTGCCATTCAGTCTGACAATGAGCAATGTCAAGGAACGTGTAACGATGCCCAGGTTTYTAATTACTGGTCGTTTGGACAGCTTAGAATCGTGTGTCACGACTCCTATAACAGGCAGCTTAACCGTGCAACATACTGAGGCACCGATAAAGTCAATTGAATTACAGCTAGTACGTGTGGAGACTTGTGGTTGTGACGAGGGCTACTCCAAGGATGCCACTGAAGTGCAGACTATACAAATTGCCGATGGCAATGTCATACCCAAACTGGAAATACCAATATACATGGTGCTCCCGNCGGCAATTCCGAATTCCATTTTGAACTTCCTTTGGTTTGCAAGAAGGAGCCACGAAGACTATACGAAACATATCACGGCGTCTTTATCAGCATCAACTATCAGCTTAAATGCGATGTGAATGTGAAACGCAATTTCCTAGGCAAATCGTTACAGAAAGTTCAACAATTCTGTATACAATATAAGCCAGTTCCGTTGGGTGATGAGGCAACTAAATCTGTGCCATTCAGTCTGACAATGAGCAATGTCAAGGAACGTGTAACGATGCCCAGGTTTYTAATTACTGGTCGTTTGGACAGCTTAGAATCGTGTGTCACGACTCCTATAACAGGCAGCTTAACCGTGCAACATACTGAGGCACCGATAAAGTCAATTGAATTACAGCTAGTACGTGTGGAGACTTGTGGTTGTGACGAGGGCTACTCCAAGGATGCCACTGAAGTGCAGACTATACAAATTGCCGATGGCAATGTCATACCCAAACTGGAAATACCAATATACATGGTGCTCCCGCGTTTATTTACCTGTCCCACTCTTTTAACCAAGAACTTTAAAATTGGTAAGCTTATAGTCTACAGTTTCTATTATAAATATAATGTATGTAAATACTTGCAGAGTTCGAGCTTAATTTAGTGGTGTTGTTCAAGGAGGAGCACACAGTTAGCGAAAACTTTAAAATTGTCTTAAAACGCGCTTCAGGTCCTCTGCCTAGCAAAATAACAACAGCTGGCCGCTGAACAGCATCGAATAATATTCAAATACTACTATATAGAATACTGCTTAGGGCTAGTTATTTTTGACTAGACCTCAAMTGAGTGGAGTGAATAGCATATAGTTTCCAAATTGTAAGCAATATATGCTCTATATCTCGAAACGTCAATGAAAATAAATAGTTAACTATCAACTAAACTAATTTTAAAGATTGCGCGTGTACTTAGCGTTGCCACCTAGTTAACAATCTGCAACTGAAAAACGACCTAAAAAATGACAAGAAAAGCACTCTCAATTTCCTTCCGGTGGCCAAATAACAAAAAACGGAAAGATTTTTGAATGTCCTTAGAATCACATTGATGCTGATGAGTAAATAATAGCTTTTTCTTTTAATATTTTCAATATTGCTCTGTTACGTTTAGCATGTGCAGGTAAGTATTTATGTAACAGTAATTCCCTATTTTACTTTGCTCGAATGCCGCCATCTTTTGTTTTCAACTTGATTATTATCTTTCAATTTACAACAGCTGCCAAAACAAACTTTACCTAAGGCATTTTTACTGAAATAATATTCGAGTGTGTCTGTGTGTGTATTACTATACTATAAATGGATATATATTTTTTTGGGAGCTTTAAGATAGCACCTTCATTATTATTCTTATATTTCGAGATGCTGATGCTGCTGGTGCTGCGACCGGTAAGTGCATATCAATTTCCTGCTTTGCCTCGCTGCAAAAACTTTAAATCTTTAATAATATACATATATACATACATATGTGTGTTTGAGTGTGCCTTCATCGTGCGGTTGTATTGCTGCTCCCACTCCCACATACATACATATAAGTATAGCTTTTTATGTCTGTGCTGGTAAGCTATATGCACATGTAYATRTATATACATACTTTCCCACCTACCGACAAATATAAATTACTTAGCATACATGCACAGACATACTTACAAATATATATATAATGGCGTGTTCTCTTATTTTTAGGRTGTTACAAGTGTAAGACAAGTATTTCGGCCAGCTCTTTTACATTCGATATACTTTGTATAAATATTGCAAACTACACACATACCCATTTACAGGCATATACATATATATGTATG